ATGTCCAATACATGTAATGTCCAATACAGTTTTTCACCGTACATAGTAGAGGAAATTACCGTTAACCATTTAACAGGTTTTTACTGTAGTATTTTTACAGTCTTTTACCGTTACCGTTAAATTCATTTTTTACAGTGTACACAAAACTAAAGTTAGGTAGATTTATATATAAATTATATATAAAAATCATTATCCAAGAACGTAAATGTGGATGTGAGCATCACTGTCATTAGCAGCAGGCCACTTTCCTCTCTTGATTGTAAGATTTAAATTTTCTATTGATTATCTGTCATTTGTATTGATCAAGTTTCTCTGCTTTCTCGTAACCTCTGTATTTCCCATCATGCCTCACTGCTGCCAGTATGTGTGCTGATTTTACTAGTTATGGCTATTATCTGGTTAAATTATTTAAGTGTATGGTCAACTGTTTTATTAGGTTAGCCTTATTATTATCATAACAATATAAATATCGTAACATCTTCGTGATTTTCACTAAACTTCTTTTAATACACTGATATTAGTATTCAAGATGCGTTTTGATCCTATGGGACCTTCCTTATGAAGAAGATGTAATTATTATTTTAGGAAGGCTCTTGGTTTTTTATTATACATTGGAGTAAAAAGATTCCCGTGTGATCTGTAAAATTAATTAGAAAACTTCTTTTAACCTTGGTACCTTGCTGCATTATTGAACATTCCTGACAACAGAGGCCAAATCCTCATGCATAAGCTCATGCTGACGGCCGATTGGCTGCTTTGTCTTGGCATGTGCACGGATTCAAGAGTGTCAGTGTCTAGTAAAAGCAAAAGATATTTAATAAAAAGTAATATGTTAAACAGGTCAATGTTAATATAAATAAATCACAGGTTATAAATATTACATTGCTTTTTAGCAAACTCTTTTGTAAAAACCTTTTGGTCTGTCTCTGATGGTATTTTAACCTTGATGGAACTGCAATATATTGGCATTTTATTCATCTGTATATATTCATAAGCTATTTTAAACCATTTTCATAATTCTTTTATATTTGCGCATGCAGTATTATGACTGCACATTAATTCAGACTACATGGAACATTTGTACTTTAAAAAAATAATTTGTCACTCATGATTATTTAAACTAAAAACAGAAATGTTTCTTAAAAACGGTGATCAGTTAAAGTATCTAAAATTAAATATCATATACAAAAAAAAAATACTTTTTTTGGTGTTGTGTAGTTCAGCCTGTGATAAGTATCTGTTATATTTTGTTCAATCACTGTAGAAATTTCATTTTATTTGCATTGCCCAGCATGTGCAATAAACCGGACTTTGCTTATGTTTGCATGCATCAAAATAACAAAGATATTTATAATGAATCCAAAGCAAAATTCATGTTTATTGGCAAAGAAAGTTTGCACAAGGCATTTGACTTGGTGGTTTGCGCCAAAGGACTCAGCCAATTCAGAATCGGGCTGTTGAATGAGAACTGAAAATATATTATATATTTCTTTTTATTGAATATTGATGGAGCAATACATATTTTGTACTCAAAACAGCATTTTGACAACTGGACGGCCTCTCCTCCAAGAACCTCCAGCAGGCTGAAGAGGTGTTCAAGTGCCGCTATGCCATGCTGACGGACGCCGCGGAACACAACAAGGATGCTATAAAGTCCATACGGGACGAGATGGCAGACTACCGCCGTCAGATCCAAGCCAAGAACAGTGAACTGGAGGCTCTTCGTGGCACCAAAGATTCATTGGAAAGGCAGCTGCATGATATCGAAGACCGCCACAACACCGACGTTGCTAGTTATCAGGTCAGTTTGTTAAGAAAAAAAAAAAAAAAAATGAAATAATAAGAGGAAGAGATTGTCACCACCAGTGAGGCCAAAGTGAGTTCTGCTGCACCTGAGGGCGAAGAAGAGGAAGAGGCAGAAGGAGGAGATGAGGAAGAAACAGCAGAAGAGGGAGAAGCTGCTGAGGAGGATGAGAAAGAAGGGGAAGAGGAAGCAGAAGAGGGGGAAGAAGGTAAGGAGGAAGAGGAACAACAAGTGGAAGTGACTGAGGAGACAGAACTGTGCGGTGATAAATCTCCAACAGGCAGTGAGAAAGACAAAGAAGGAAAGGAAGAGGAGGAGGAGGAGGGTGGTGAAGTACAAGAGGCAGAAAGTAAAGAAGAAACCAAAGATGATGAGGAGGAGGAGAAAGAAGATGCTGATGAAAAAGATGATGAGAAAGAGGAGACCAAACCCGAAGGAGATGAAGAGAAGAAAGACGAATCTGGAGGAGAGGAAACGAAGGCTGATTCAGAGAAGAGCGATAAAAAAAGTGATTCAGAAGAAGATGAGAAGAAATCACCAGAAAAGGAGAAACCAGAAAGCCCAGTAGAAGAAAAGCAGCAAGAAAAAGAAGAAGAAGTTGTTCCCAACGGAGACCAGACGAGCCCGGCCAAAGAAGAAGCCAGTCCGAAAGAAGAGGTCCAAACCAGAACAGTGGAAACCATCACCAATGGAGACAAGGAGAGCAAACCTGATACAGAGAAAGAGAAGAAGTCCGAGGAAAAGCCTCAGGAGAAAAAGAAAGTCACCAAAAAAGTGGAGAAAGTCAGTCCGCAAGCAAAGAAGGAAATCAAAGGAAAAGACTGATGGAAATGACTTTGACAGGGAATTAGATTTAATCAATTGTTAGAAATCATTCTATTTGATGCAAATGTCATTTGATGCAGCTATAGCAAAAAGAATTGCATGCGTGTTAATGATTGACTTGCATGTGTGGTCTGGAGGGACGTAGCTACAGTAGCCATGCTGAGCTGACGCGTCTGAAACCGAAACTATAGCGCGTTTGAATTCAACTACAAGTACATTTATGCTGCTAATGACTTCAACGATAAGAGAAGTACTTCAGCAGTTGTTTGGCAATAATGGTGCTATAATATCATCATTCGCAGGCGCACTTTGAGCTGAAACTCCATTTCATTATTTAAAATGATATGATGTCTTTCTAGTATACTTCTTGCCTTAAGACATAATGCACTGACTCAATGATAAGACTCGGTTTGCTAACATGAAACACAACAGCTGCTAACAATGATACTGTGAAAGCTAAAGGTGCTGCTCCATCAATAAAAGCTCATCAAGTCCTTACAAAACTCCTATGTGTGTTTGAATTTATACTGTGCTGTTTCAAAATGTGTAATGTTTTTGAGCGATGTCTCTTATGCTCATCAAGGCTGAATTTATTTGAGCAAAAATACAGTAAAAATACAATTTCAAGTAAAAGTTTCTATTTGAATATATTTTAAAATGTAATGTATTGCTGTGATGCAAAGCTGAATTTTCAGCAGCATTGCTCCAGTCTTCAGTGTCACATGATCTTCAGAAATCATTGTAATAAGCTGATTTGCTGCTCAAGAAACATTTCTTGTCAGTGTTGAAAACAACAGGGTTATTACAGTTATAACTACGGTAATACCATTACTTGAAATAAAATAAATGTTAAGAGAAATAACATAAAATTAAAAAAACGTATTTTATTTCAGCTATTGCCAAGACAACATTTCTTATTTATTTATTTATTTATTTAGTTTAACTTGAAGTAAAATAACTAAAACTAAAACCAATAAATCAAAAAATATAAAAAACTATATAGAAATTCATTGAAAAAAAAAAACTAATAAATGCCATTTACTTCCAGATTTTTTGATAAAAAAAGTTTTTAAAAAATGCATTTATTTTTAATTGAAATTTGTAATATAAATGTCTTTATTGTCACTTTTTATCAATTTAATGCATCCTCGCTGAATGAAAGTATTCATTTCACTGAATAAAAAAATTTAATGCAATTGTTGTTTAGAAACAAATAGCACAAAGATTATCACAAAAATCAACGTAATTTCCTCTTGGAAAGTTCACGCATAATCCTAAACATTTATATTTTATCACACAAAGTTACCTGCAACCCACAATTCACAATATTGCATGTCTTACTGCTTTCATAAAATGCTTCCCGAATAAAAAAATATTAAGATTACAGTTTTCTTTAAAAAGGTGTTCCTTCCAATAGAAGATAAAGTCCTTTACATGTAAACTAAGATTAATAGTTGGCAATAAAACCTTCCGTTTTTCTATATGGGCAAATGCAAAGAATGACAGACAGCTAGACCAAAAAAGTGAAGCATGACTAATCTCATAAACATTTCATCACAGCACGGACATTAATCACATTTTTCTTCTCAAACGAGATCACTCTCTATCCCTCTCCATTAGTGTTACTAGACCTAAGTGTATAGCTCTCAATTAGGATAATGGAGAACATGTGCTGCAATGGCTTGTTAGAGCTTGAGCCAAGTGCTCTGGGTCATCAGGTAACTGAATTTGTCGCTGAGGAGGCAGTAATTGAATTTGCATGCTTAAAAACACTAATTCTGCAATGCAAATCAATGCAGATTTGTGCTGATCACCGGGTCTGGCTTGGGATCACAACTAGGGTTACTTTCGCGACAGTGCATTTGGCTGACACACTTAGTGCACAATGGTGATAGTTCATGAATGGTTCAGACATACAACTTTCAGGTTAACAGCTCAGATTTTTACCGCTATGCAACACTCACCTCATGTATAGGTGCACGGATGGGGGAATCCAAAGCTGTGCTTTCTGTGGATTCTGCTCTGTGCTGTTGTTCAAGTGCTGAATGTGCACAAAATTGTCACATGGCATCACTCTAGTGAATCACTCTAGCTGAGCTCTGAGGTTTCTTGCATTATATTGATTACAGCTGTCATGAATAAATAATCAATGCACAGCACTGTACTGGAGTTGATGGCTGCATACTAGCAGATTTAGTGGGTTGTGTACCTGATTGAGAACAGGGGCCGTGCTTGGAATAGCACTGTTTCTGCAGTATGCAATATATATTGTGTGCAGTATGCACATTTTCTGTATGCTCAAATGTGCAGCAAACAACAGAGCAGATATCGTATCCCACAATGCATTGTGCTCAACCTTTCATTGTGCCCAACAGTTCATTACGAATGAACCGAAAGCGATCTTTTCAAGATTTGCAGCAATAGTTCACCCTAAAATGACAAATAGCTTGAAAATGTCCTCACCTGCACGCCGTCTAAGATGTAGATGAGTTTGTTTCTTCATTGGAACAGATTTGGAGAAATTTAGCATTACATCACTTGCTCACCAGTAATCCATCGCCTTAATGTCCATAATCCACAATAAGGCATCCTCATGTGAAAAAATCCATCTGCTGTTGTCCTCTCACATCAAAATCCAGTATTTAGGACTGTTTTGGCTTGTAAATAGTGCTTGATCTGTGAATATTTCTCTCCTGATTCAAATTTCAAACAAGTTGCCTTTTTCACTGGAGAAAGCAATATTATGGATAGAGGACTCGTGTGAAGTTAAAAACACCTAAATCATGGATTTGTTTTATTACAAACATGCAGCTTTTCCCTTCACAAGATGTTAATTGCTGAACTGGAGTTGTGTGGATTATTATGATGTTTTTATCGGCTGTTCGGGCTCTCATTCTGACGGCACCCATTCACTGCAGAGGAACCATTAGTGAGCAAGTGATGAAATGCTACATTTCTCCAAATCTGTCAAGATGAAGAAACAAACTCATCTACATCTTGGATGGCCTAAGGGTGAGTAAATTTGAGCAAATTTTCACGTTTTGGTGACCTATTCCTTTAATCAAAGAGCTCCGACCTTACACACAATTTGACAAAAATGCAAAGTAACCATCTTCTAAGATAAAAACTAGACACCACTCGATGAATTATGCTGCATGCCACATAACTTAATTTGTTCTATGTCACATAATACTGTAGCATACGGTTTACACTGCACAGTTAGCATAAGCAGAAAAACAACAACAGAGTAATGCACCAAGTTAAAGAGGGTTTGTCAAGTTTTTATTGGTAGGCAGTGAGCCTTTCTTTGAGGATCTGGTCTAATGAATTTTGAATACTAAGCACACTTGTGTTATCATAGGCAGTTGATAGTGTGATTAATGCTGAAAGCATACTTGACACAATGCTCAAAGAAAATGATTTGCATTTCAATAAATAACACGACAATCAAACCAACCAGGTAACTGCAATCGCAACTTCCCTGCCAAGCACAAGCATAAAGCATGTGCTCATGCATAGGCTACTCTGGCTTTGGCCGATCTCTGTGGTTGCATTTATTATTCTCGTTTGTGTACATTATGGTTTGCTTTTAAGTTGAACTGAATCTGAAATCGAGCAGCAGGACACAGTGAAGTTGTCATTGAGATGTCTGCATGCGTGAGATAAATGCACGAGGTTTGATCACCTCCAGATAGCACCAGGGGGTTTGGTCCGGTGTGTTTACTTCTCTTTTGGCTTGGCTTTCTCATCTTTACTCTCTTTCTCCTCTCCTCCTTTCTTTTTCTCCTCTTCTTTTCCAGCTTCATCCTTCTCTTCTTCACCTTCACCTTCTTCTTGATCACCTTCTTCACCCTCTCCTCCTTCCTCTTCTGCTTCCTCTGCCTCTTTTCCTCCTTCCTCTTCCTCTGTTTCTTTTCCTTCTTCCTCTTCCTGTTCTCCTTCATCCTCACCTTCTTCCTCTCCTCCCTCTTCACCTGTAAAAGAGACAACAGGGTACAAATGTCACCACTGCAGTAGGGCTGAGTGCTACAAAAATTATATTTAGCATTTTGATGACATTATATATGTTAAATACATTATAAATCTAGTTATAGTCAACTTTTCTCACTAAATTAAGAGAAACATAAAAAAAACATAGAAGGGAAAAATGAATGAAAATGTTTTTTTGTTAAAAATTTGTTATTTATATGCACAATATACAATAATAAATTAACAGCGTTAATATATATAT